TGTGCAACTGGCAAACCATATAAAAGTGCAGTAAGTTAAGATACTCTCTATAGTAGAAGGTCACCAGCAGTCTTTCATTGAGATGTTGTTTCTTGAGAAGTCTCAGGTAGTCTAATCTCTGCTGGGCCCTTTTGACCAGGGCTGCCATGTGAGCACCCCCAGGTCAGCTCCTCTTTTAGGGTGACACCCAGAAACTTAAAACCGGCCACTTGCTCCACTCGGTCTCCATTGATAACCAAGGGCCAGATGTCTGATCTGTTCCTTCTAGAGTCCACTATAAGTTCCTTGGTCTTATTGGTGTTGAGGACCAAGTTATTGTCTCCACACCAGGAAACCAAGCAAAACATTCATCCAGGGCTGAATTAAATAAGAGCAGAGGGAACTTCCCTGTGTCTTTCTTTGGTGACCTTCTCAACCCTGGAGATCCCAGATTGAGCTCAAAAAGATTTGTCATCTCCAAAGCCTCCAGTGCTGCGTTACGTGCATTTCCTTCTGACTCCACGCCCCAATTTTGGGCATCGCTAACTCAACAGTTCTGGAGAGCATGGCTCCAAGAGGGATCTTTCTCCCCCCGGAGAGGCTCCTCCACAAAACCAGAGCCTTTGAGTTCGCCTTAAGGAAGCTGCACCAAGCGGTGATTTCAGAAACCACGGCCGTGTCGATCATATGCAGCATTAACAGCCAAAAGATGTAGAAGGGTGGGGGAAAGAAAGAAAGGCGCTCATTCACCCATCTCATCTCTCTGCCATTCAGAGGGCTGGGCGATGGGAAACCGGCACACAACTGACACACAACTGACACAATTTGTTTTGTTCCCTGCCCAGGAGCAGACTCAAAAGAGCTCACGATTAATTTCGGCATAAGCCGAACATTCTTGCAAACAGGTCTGGCGCCCGTTCTTTGAAGAATGCACTGATTACCAACAATTTCTCGGGGCTTGCCACAAACATTATGTCTTTTGTTGTGCGAAAGAAAAAGAAGGGGGAAAAAAAAAATAGCAGAATCAACCATCTGGCAAATGCCCCAGAGCTAAAATCTTTCACACGGCTTATAATTCACAATGATTAAATATACAAAAGCAGAAAAGAGGAAGAAGGGGAGAAAAAAAAGAGAGAGAGAGAGAGAGTTATACTATAGTATGCTAAAAAAAAGAAAGAAAGAAAGAAAACCAGGCGACTTTCATTGCTTGATCAAAACCCAACGCCATCCGCGAAAAAGTATCCGAGCAGACACACTTATTTATTTCCTTCCAGGCTAATAGTTTCAACTTGCGACTTGCAAAGTGGCCATTTGAACCCGTCACAGCTAATGGGGCCTGGGTGTCACAGGCCATTTCCTGCCCTGTTTGTCAGGGGGGCCAGGTGCTGCTCTCGAGGGGCAACCGGCCGCGATGCCAGGCAGGGCCGGGCAGAGAGAAAGGAATTCAAGGCTGCAAAAGGGCCATGGAAGAGCAGAAACGGAGGGCAGGGGGAAAAAAAATCTTGGAATGGAAAGGGCTCGTTCAAGGCCGAAGACCTGGGTTCAAGTCTTCGCAATGCCTCTTTCGAACCCCAGACGGGAGGAGGAGCTTAGTTTCTCTCCGGGTGGGTCTATCTGCCCTCGAAAGCCTGGGCGTGTCCCTAAATATTTCCTGCCATCTGTTTTTGATGCTTCCAGAGCTGGCCAGTCGCCTGCCAGGGTCTTCCTGCCTTTCCGGCAAAGGAGCAGCCCTGGATGTGTTCCCTCTCCCGGCTGAGCATTTCCTTGCACGCTCGCCACCCCCCACCCCCGCCACCTCTCTTGTCACCTCGGTGGCCCCCTCCAGCCTTGGAAGACCCCCCTGGGGAGGGCGTCTGTTCCTTGAAGGGCAGGCCAATGCTGTCGTTTTCAATTGTATCCGCGGCCTTAAAGGAAGGGATGGGCTTTGGCACCAGATCCCATCTTCACACCCAGAGGGAGCGGGAGGGAAGGGGGCCACGCTCCTGCACAACGCCCAGATGCCCTCTTGCAAAGCGGGATTCGCACAATGGGCCACTTATGATTGTGGCTGAGTCTCTCTCTCTCTCTCTCTCTCTCAATCCTGCATTGGGAATTCCTGTGTTTATCTCACTCCTCACGAGTGTTGACTCTGAGTCCAGGACCTTGGTCTGATGGCACCCAGAGGCATGGTGACTAGGCTGTAGGGAGGGCCTGGGTAGCAGAGATGGCTCAGTCCCAGCTAGGGCAAAGTCCTAGCGATGTTCCAGGACCGATCCCGCCAACCCCATCAGGGTCATGGCCTATCCTTCTAGTGGAGCGTCACTAGAGTCCAACCTACCTTCGAGGGTCTTAAGAAGGCTGATCTGAAGGGCCCTGATTCCTCCGCACTCCCAACCAGTGGGCCAGGGGGACACTGGTGGTCCTTGAGAAAATTTTGGTGGTCCGCAGAGAAATGCCACCCCCAAAGCAATGAATCCAGGCTGCACGGGCACATATAAGGCTTGCGTCGCTTGCATTGCGAACAACACTGGGTAGTGAGGGGAGGGGGGAAAGGGTGGAGGGGGGGAACTTGCCCCACTCGCCCCACGCACCTCGCCTGGCCACCAGGCTGCTTCTTTCCCTTTCTTTCTTCTGCTTTTGGCTGCACGCAAGGAAAGCAGCCGAAGTCTTTCTTTCTCTCCCCCAAACTCCCCCAGAAATGAGTCTTTGGGATCCTGCAAAGCCTTCTGCCCCAAGAGGCTGCGCCAGCAAAGACTCATTTCTGGCGGAGTTGGGGGGAGAGAAAGAAAGATTTCTGCTGCTCCTGCTGTTTTCCTTGCATGAAGCCAAAAGTCTCTCCCTCTGAGAACGGAGCTGGAGACGGTATCCTGCGATCCCAAATAAAGAATGATGGATTGGTAGGAAAACGGGGTGGGGAATTTTCCTGCAGACTTTTGGGGGGATTTTCCCAGGGTCTCTGGGATTTAAAATTATGAGTTTGGTGGTCCCTGAGATCCAAAAGGTTGGCGACCCCTGATCTGAAGGACTCCAAGACTTGGGCTGGTCTGCCCAAGGATGACAGGGACTTCCGCCTTGCTGATTGTGCATCCCCTGCAACCGGTCCCAGGTGGGAAGGGATCCGGAGAAGGGCCTACCTGCATTTCTCAGAAAGCGGTGCCGGTAATCCACCACCACTCTGGTGTTCGGGTTGTAGAAACCATCTCCGCAGTCGTAGCAGCCGGTGGGAATGCGCCGGGGAGGATCCAGGTCCGTCAGCTGGGAAATCCCTTGGAAAGAGAAACCGAGGAAGAGGAGGAGGTGAGAAATGAAAACTCTGAAGAAATAGCCCAACGTTTACTGCTTTGTACCAGGAGGTCTGATTGTGAGTCTTTTGGGGGTCTCCCAACCAGAGAGGAGAAGGTCTGCCCACCTCCCAAAGAGGGGAAATATCAGTCATTCCATCATCGGGCTGATTCAAGGCTGTACCTGCTGGCTTCAGGCCGTTGCAGATTTCCGTGTAAAACCTCCGGTCGTAGCCATCGCAGTAATGCCACTTGTTGTCTTTATATTCCAAACCATCGGAGAAAGTGTATTCCCCCTGCCGGGCCAAATTCAGGGTTAAGGTTGAGCAGAACCAAGCATTGAGATCCAACTTCCTGTTTCTCGGTTGTGTTTTGGTTCAAGGATTCCGCCCGAGCCCCCAAGGATGGCTCCTTCTCCCTCTCAGGTTATGTGAATGAGCCTGCTTATCAAGCGGTCATCAACGATAAATCTGTTTTATCAAACACAGGAAACAGACCAACCAGGCAGGTAGAAGAAGCAAGACACCCTACGGAGAAGAGTCAGGCGTGGGCACTTCTGAAGAGGATGGACACCCCTGAAGGATATTTAAGGTCCGTCCAGCCCCTGGTCCTAAAAGGTCCTTATGGGGCAATCCATTCTGGATCCATTCCCCAGCATCGTCATAGCACAGGATGTGCACCGAGCCGCTCTGATTTGTGGGTGTAGGAAGCGCAACGGGCTTGGGACTCTCAGCAAGGAAGACGTCTCCCAAGGCTTCAGAAATGGAGGAGAAAGGATGGCTCCCCATAGGCCCAGATGGGTCGACATCATCGCTCAAGGACCCCAGAGGCTCCTGGGGGCCCCCTGGTTGACTCCATACCTCCACACAGATGCCTTTGTCCCAAATCCCTTCGTATTTGCTGCCGCCGGGGAAGTAGAGGGTTCCTTTCCCATGGAACATCCCGTCCTTCATCTCGCCCTCGTACTTGGTGTCGGTGGGGAGGGTGTAGGTCCCCGTCCCTTCCAACCTGGGGGGGAGCCCAGAGGGAATGTCAGGCATCCCATTCTTACACCTCTCTCCAACCACAAAGCCCCTCACCCACCCACCCACCTAGCCCTTCCCTGCCCAGGTGGGGGCTTCACCCTCCTGCAAGGAAGCAGTAGGCCTATGCATTGCCCCGCCCCCCATCCCCTAATCATCATATATCAAACGAGGAGGGGAGACTATGATGCATTGGACCTATTAATAGGCAGGGATAACGGCCCCCATCGCCCCCCAAGCCCCCCTCCCCCCCGTTGCCCTTAAGAGCATTACCGACACGGTCCTGCATAAGCTTTAGGGGTGATTTATGGTTTATTTAGCGGTGCATATTAACGGACCGCGTCCCCCAGGCGAGTCTTTACGGGGGCAGCCCGCATCTGCCAGGCATTCGTGCCAGGCACCCTCCTTTACACGCGAACAGAGGCTCCCCGCTGCAACCTCCGCCTAAGACGTGTGCACCACCCCCACCCCACCCCCATTTTGCAACCTTTAGGCAAGCGGGGGGCGGAGGCTGGACCCCGGGACCCCGGTTCCCCAAAGGGGCGCGTCCCCACTTGCACCTGCCGTTGACGCGCTGCCCGCGGTAGAAGCTGCCCGTGTACTGCATGGCGCGGCGGGGCTGGGGCGCGCAGGCGCGCGCGTCTCCGTCGCCTAGGCAACGAGGGGCGCGGGGCGGGCGAGGCGGGGCCCACAGCGGGCGCGTCTGCGCCTGCGTGGCGGGGGAAAAAAAGGGGGGAGGAGCATGCGCAGTGGCGGCCTGAGGCCCTGCGGCGGCATCGGCGAAGGGTAGTTCAAGGTGCGGCGCTTCTGCGGCCATGGCGGGCCTGGTGGAGGTGCCCTCGATGGAGGAGCTGGACGTCCCGGAGGTGAGCCGTCCCTGCTGCTCCCCGGAGCGCCCAGCCCCAAGCGGTGCCTCAGTTTCCCCACTCGCCTGACCTCCCGTGACCTTTGACCCCCCCGGGGTTGACCTCCCCAAGCCCCTCTGTGGGGGGGTCACTCTTCCCCAGGGGGTCAATCCAGGTCTGGACCTGCAACCCCCTCTCCCCAATTCTCTTGAAGCCTCCCCCCTCCCCCCCTTTAACAAACAAACAAGCAAACAAACAAATAAATAAGATATATATATATATATTTGCAAAAATTGGTCATTTCCTGCAGTTTCAGAGCTTTGGAAGTTTTATCCTTCTCCCAGCAAGCATCTGACAGCCAGCAGGAAGATTGCACTGGCTAAGATGGGAGCGCGGTAAATTTTGCAAGCAAGCAAAACAAAAATAAATAAACAAAACAAGCAAATCCCACCCCCCATCCCCCCAAAAAATTGTTACGTGGACTTTCACAACTTAAAATTTTAGTCCTTCTCCTGGCATGGATTTGACAACCAGCAGGAAGATTATATTTGAAGGGAAGGTGGGGAAAGGAATAAAATAAGATTTGATGAACAACCAGGCTGCACAATCTGGGGTATTCATGAACTTTATTCATTAATCAAATTTATATAACCATCTCACCCACTTTGGCATGTGCAAGAAGAGATAAAAAGGAAGCTTATGAACACTGCAGGTGCAATTGTAAAAGACCGCAGAAATATCAATGTTCTTAAATAATTACTAAAGTTCTTAAAATGCAAACAAATAAATATCTTGAATATTATGACCCTATTGAGGGGGCCCCGTTGGGGAAGAGGGGACGAGCCGAGGCTTCTCATGGTTTTAAACCACCCCACTCTCTTTATGTAGCGGAAAGGTATTTATTTGTGTGCGTTACGAATCGTTGATGCCCTTGAAGGCCTGCAAGATGGCAACATTGACTTCCTCGCTTGCTCCTCAGCTGCCGGTTGGCACCGCGGTCCTGAAGGCCGGTGCCCACCACTATGGCTCGCAGTGTGACCAGATCAACAAGGAGTTCATGCTCTGCCGTTGGGAGGAGAGGGACCCACGGAAGTGCTTGAAGGAAGGCCGGGCCGTCAGCAAGTGCGCTGTGGACTTTTTCAAGTGAGCCTGGCACGGGGAGGGCTCTGGGACTCCGGGCTGGGTCGTGCTCTGAGGGCCTCGAAGGGAATTGTTATTAATAAAGGAGAATGTTTGTAGCTCGGAGTTGAAGTGGGAAGTATTATGGTTTGTCACACAGCCAGATGTTCAGGCTGGATTTGCCATTTTAACCGACCTATTGAAACCTTCCCAAAGTCCTAAGATAGGCAGATGTGGATGCTTGATGGTGTTAACGGCAGTTTGTCAGCTGTTCCAAGGAAAGCTGCCTTCTGCAATTGACCAATAGAGATATTGTCAATGCCCACAGTACTCAAATAATACATTAGTATGGTGTGTGGCATAGGTATTTGAACTGGAATTGGCATTTTTGTCCATCTGTTAAGTCCTTCCTAAGATGGGCAGATGTTCTTATCTGATGGTGTGAAAAATCTGATCGCAGGATGTCAGCTGTTGCAAGCAAAGCTGCCTTCCGCAATTGACCAGTGGTGATTTTGTCAATGTCGATGAAGTTCAAGTGGGGCTCCAGATGTTTCGGGGTTGTGTACCCAGGTTGTTATTTAATGCACCAGTCTTCCGTTCTTATTCTTGCCTGGGTGTCATCGTTCGGAATGTCTTGCAACCTTTTATTCCGTTAACCGAACGCGGCGGCCTCCTCTGGTTTTTGCAGGCAGATCAAGCTGCATTGCGCCGAGCCCTTCAACGAATACTGGAACTGTCTCGACAAGTCCAACATGTTGAAGCTTCGTCAGTGTCGGAAGCAGCAGCAGCTCTTCGATGACTGCGTGCTGGACAAGCTGGGCTGGGTGAGGCCAGAGCTGGGTCAGCTGTCAAAGGTAAACAAAGACCGTCCGTGTCTCTCTGGAGGCATGTCCTCGTGGTCAGTGGACCAAAGTGCTCTTTGCTGTCTCCCACCATCTCCAGTCACATGGAGATCCTCTCCCTCTCTTCCCACTGCAGCTCTGAGTATGTGGTAAGACTGAGTTCACTTTCCTCTTTGTTAGGATGCATGAGGCTGTGGAGTGTGGCCAGGTTACACCAGCCCTTTAAGGGGGTGACAGGTTTCTGGCATGTGAAGGCCAGGGGGTCTAACTCCCCTCTTTCTGACCCTGCCAGGCATATTTCTGTGCTGACAGAGCTGGCAGTTTTGCACGTGAGTTGGTGAGGTAGGAAGACGTTTGCTCGAAGAGGACCTGTGTAACAGACAGGGCTTGGAAGCAGTTGTCCCTCAAGTAGCCGCCTCTGTTAATTGCTAAGGATGTCTTGGAAGATAGAGGCAGGGAATGGATGGCTGCTTTAAGTTATATTATGCTGCAGTTATCCTGGACCTGATGCTCCCTCCCAGTTTGGCTTTGTAGGAGTCTGGCCAATAGGTCAGCTTCAAATGTAGGTTTTGAGTTCCTTTTCTGCTACTTTATAGGCTAGTTTGAGGTGCGTAGTGTTTCCAGAGGCCCCCTTCCTGCTTCCATGTCTCGTTGTACGGCTGTGTTTTAGGGGTTGGTGCACAGGGTTGCAGAGCAGCCCCTTGCCGTGTTGCACGCCAGCAAACGGGCCTTACATTCTGGCGTGTTTATCAGATCTTGACCTGGCTTCCAGTGCAGTTTTTCCAACCGAGGGTAAGAGGGGAATATTTACAGAGGCCCATTTCGTCTGACCCGAGTAGGAAATACTGGGCAGGAGATCCTGTGTCTTAACTGCCTCTAAACCAGCTTCAGGCGTCCTTCCCTGCTCTTTCCGTCCACTTCCCTTCTGAAATGCCTTTTTCCCTTGCAGCGCTTCCGTCCCTTCTGCTCAGCAAGAACTTCCCGTGTGATTCTTCCCTTTCCAGGTCACTAAAGTGAAGACCGACCGTCCCCTCCCCGAGAACCCCTGCCATTCCCGAACGAGAGCGCCAGCCAACCTGCCAACGGAAGGCGAATACAAGCCTGCGAAATATGGTAACCGAGGTTATTTCTGGAGTTGGTAGAGGGGAAAAAAAATTGCACTTCCGCACGTACACCATCCATGGAGGAAAACCGTGACGGTTTTTATTTTGGTGGACCGTCGATTACGCTTCGTTGGTGTTGGATGGATCTTACCTGTACCCAACAGTCATTAAATGCATATTCTTTGAGCGGTCCGACTTCTCATGCTTTCTTCTCGTGTGCTTGTTTGAAATAGACAAGTACAGAAACGTTCTCTGTAATCCTGGAATCAGTCTCCCCGGGCAGCGGTGAGGAAGGCGTCTCATGGGGTTTAAGGAGATTATTATGGGTTTCTTAATGTCCATCTTCTTGGGACAAACCAAGGGGATCTACCTTTTCCTCCTTGCCTGCTGATCTTTGACTTTCTGAGCGTTGTCGCCGTTACTTTGAGCCTTGCTCTCAGTCCTTTTCACACAACCATTCATCCCAGCCTTGAAGGGGTTCTTGCGGTCTGCAGTGAGATTAATCTACCGTTTTCCTTCGATATTTCTGGGGTCCACACAGTGAAAGACCTGCATCTCTTATCTCCTGCTAAGATTCGGTTCTATTTCTGGGAATCTCCTCATCGACGTTAACTGACATTAAGGCTTTCAGCTGCCCTCCTCTTGGTTCGCAATGTTCACTCAGATCCAGGAGGGGACAGAAAAATTTTCCTACCTCCCTCTGTCTGTGTCCCATCTCCATCTTCTTTAACCAAGGAGGTTCTGTAAATCGATGTGGGTTTTGTCAGTCTGTAATACTTCTTGCGCCCAAAACGCCGTCAGGGGCAATGAGCTAAACCAGTTTGAGCAAGGGTTCTTCCAACCCTGTCACTCTGTGTTCTGTAGACTTAACCAAGTTCAAAGCAGTGTTGGAAAATAGCATGCACGGGTTTTTTTTTTTTGAGTTCCAGGACGCCTTCCCTGGAGATTAAACAGACCTGCAGATATACCTTATCGCTATGTGGACATCAGAGCTACGGGGAGGAAGAAAGGGGCAGGGGATCCCAGCTGTGCCGGCATAGGTCAAAGCTGGAACACGAGAGGAGGCTGCCAGCAGGCAGCAGCAAACTGATGGTTGGTTGCACTGGAGATTCCCTGAGGTTGCTGGGCTGTAAAAATCCGCAAACAGTCGTTGTTTCTCCCAGTTCTGAGAATATGAACTCCAGCTGTTTAGTCCAATTCTTCGTCCGAGAGGGAGAGTCTTGGGCTAGAAGTCTGCGGCCGACATAAACAAGGCAGGCGGCAAGTTATTCGCGTGGTTTCAGTAGTTCTCAATCCTTCGACGGGTGCGTGACAGTTCCAGAAATACTGATGCGTCGTTCTCCTCTTGTGGATCAAAACACCAGAAACGTACACAGATCAGTGCATCCTCTGGAAAGCCTAAATAAAGCACAGGTGATTAAGGACCTGCGCCTAGCCCAGATGAAACATTTGGCACACACACACACACAAGCATGGAAAAACAGTCTGGTGTCCTTAATATAATGGGCAAGTGTCTCTCTCTCTGCATGTGTGTCTGTCTGTGTCTTGAGATGATTATTTTTTTCATTTATCTTACGTATATATTTACACGGTTTGCAATCCTGCTGTTCTGCCCGTAGGTCATTCAAGGCAGCCTTTTTCTTTAGAGAAGAATTTCATCCAGGAGGGATAGCTTGTGGGTGGGTGGGTGAGCTTTGAAACCCTCAAAGCAAACGGTCTCTGGGGGTCTGCTTACTTGGTGGGGCAGAGGGCCTTGGGAATGTCTCTTTCCTGGCTTTTGGGATTGGGATCTGCACTTGGAATTGGGGTTCAGGCGGGAGCCCCACTCAGGGCTTGCTGCTCTGTGCACGGAGGAGCGGAGGGAGGTTGAAAGCTGCTTCTCCCACCCGTCCCTGTTCAGAAGAACAGCCCACCTTCCTTCCCTCCCTACAGAGTCCGCCTGCTCTGCTATCTCTGCGCTTGGTAGTGTTTTTTGGGGTTGTTTCTTCCTTTCCTTCCCGAGGTTGGCCTGCCTGCCTGCCCGCCTGGAGGCGGCTGCTGACCCTTCGCCTTCCTGTGTTTAGCCAAGAGGCTGGGCTGGCCACGAGCTCCTGCAGCCTCACCCAGCCCTGCCTTGGGTGGGGTGCCTTAGGGAAGGGGCACAGGGCTGGGGTCAGGACCGGCTGTGGGTCGCTTCCTGGTGGCCGGATGCCCGCCCCGCCCGGGAGTAGCCATCAGCTCCTCTAGCTGTGCGTAGACACAGCTCGACTTGTGTTCCTTTAGGTTTTGTTCCCCTCTTGTTGCCTAGGGAACCCCCCTCCAAAGAGGAAAGTTGTGTGGCCTGTTTCCTGACCCCCAAAGGAGACCCCCCCAAAGGAAAGCCACAGCCTGATTCTTCTGTCCTTGCCAAGGAAGAGGTTCTGGAGAACCAGAGCAAAGGGATGCTCTTCAAAGGAGTCCTTCTGGCTGTGGTGGCCTCGAGGGCCTCCAGCGTGGCACCTCCAGACGTGTTGGAAGCCCGTTGCCAGGATGCCCCTGGTTTGGCTTTATATCTGAAGTGCCCAGCCATGAGTGGCATAATCGGTTAGGCTGGAGACTAAGGCAGGAAGGTGGGCAGAGCTCCTTCGCCACTCACAAGTACACAGCTGCTGGTTGGGCTTCTCCCATCTCCTTTCGGAGAATAGCAGAGTTAATTTCTTCCTTCCAAGAGGCCAAGCCGTTCAGGCGCCAACCCCAAGAGGAGAAGGCGTCGGGATTGGGGCACCCCCCAACCCATGGTCCGTTGCTCAGGCCCGTCCACTGAGCTAAGCCCTAATCTGGCTTGCTAGCTAGCTGGCTTGGTGGCTTGCGCAAACCTGGCTACTCTAGCAAGCCAGGATTCCCTAGGCTGCAGCCTGGACGAGAGGAACCTGGGTCCCAGCGTCTGAATCCTGACAGCGGCAGCCGCCTCCTTGGGAAGCCGGCTCATTGAGAATGCAAGCCTTGACCCTTCTGGAGAACTGTTTTTAAAAGAAGGAGTGGGGGGGGGGGGAGAACTGCCACCCCCGAACGCCGGCGGTAATTCATGTAGTAACTATAGCAACAGCCACGTACATTTACATATTCTTCCTCTTAATCACGGGGCCATCCAAGACAACTCTTCGCCAGTTCTTCCGACATAATTTGCTGTTTTCATTTACTAACCAAGAGATACAGTCCCTTGGGCTTTGTCCTAATTTTGAAGGCCCTCCTACTTATTGCAAAAAAATAAAAGCTAGGTGGTTTGTTCCTTTTTGTCTCCCTGGACTTTTCCGACCGAAAATCCCCTGGGTTTCCCTTTTCCCAGATAGCCATGCCCACGGGAGGAGCGGTCACTTTCCAGTAGGTGAGTTGCTGCCCCTCAACATGGCATCAACGTTGGGAATGGAAGCAAGCAAACGTTCTCGGCGGGTTATGCAACCTGGCCTAGCGTCTTGGAGACTGGCGCTGGGAAGTCCAAGTTCACCCTCTCGCCCTGGAAGCGCCCAGGGTCGCTTTGGGGCCCGGCGGCCTCTCTCTCTCGGCAAAGCCTGCCTCACAGCAGCACGGTGGGCAAAAATTGGGGTGTCCTGCAAACCCTGCCTGGGACTCCCGCAGGAAAAAAATCACAAGGGAAATCTAGCAGATCTGGACGTGCTTGGAACAAGAAGATTTCAGTTGGCACACCACCCGGGGTGGGGGGGATAAACTAGATTTGCCTGGCTTGAAGTTGGAGGGCACCTCGCCTGGCAGCCTGGTGCTGAGGGTTCGGGGTCCTGCAGGTTTGGCACAATTCAGGAAAATGTATATCTTGAGGGAGGAAGCGTCTTGACCGAAGGCAGGTTGGTGTAGGGTAGGATTTCCAACTGCCAAGGAGAGCTTAGCGCCACCCAAAGTGCTGGAAATCGTCCTGCTGTATCCAGATCTAGGATAACTTGGGGAGGGGGTGGAGGGCTCGCACTAAGAACCCCTGGCGCCCCCCCCCATCAAGGAGGGGCCTTGGATTAATCTCTCTGGCAAGATAAGTGGGGCCCCTGGGAGAGGCGGCAGATCGATTCTGCCGGCAGAGACGTTCTCTGTTCTCTGCGAGGGCGACAGCGGTTGAGAAAGTGGGGAAACACAATCAGGGCTGAACTGGCCCCCGGCACTTCGGTGGATGCCAAGATTTAACGCCTGGGGCTTTCTGTATCCATTATTAGCGTGTCCTGGGGAATGCGGGTTGGGTGGGGTGAGTAATGGAAGCGCCATCCGTGGGCTGTTGACAGGCTGGTCTTAATTTTGTAGAAGGGGACGAGGGGGGAAGCCCTGAGTGAGGGGGAGCCTCCGTGGGACGCAGCCTGTTCCAGCGCTCGGGATGCCTGAGCGATGCAGTCTTCAGGGGGTCACCATCCCCTCGCCCCTTGAAGGAGAAGGCCTGAAGGGAGGCCCTCAGATCAAGGACTGCCGGCTGATCAGGCCATAAGATGAGTCTGGAGAAGGTTCTTCTTGCCCTCTACAGAGAAGACATTCCCACAACCTCTAGTGAGTTTGCCGTGCGTTTGCAGGCTAGGAGAATCCACTGCATGGAGAACAGTGGCCAGGGGCCTTCAGAAACTTGACCTTGGCCTCTAGGAGGTCACAATTGAGAACTTCTCCAGTAGGACCACCTCCTCAAATGGCCTGGCTTGGTCGGGGTTTACGAGGGACCTCCTCTTAAATATTGTCCTTTTCGGGTGCACCCTGTCTGGCGTCGTCGCGCAGCCCGCAAAATTCTCTGTGTGGATTGTGCATTTGTTTTGTTTTGAAAAAGGGCTTGCACACTTTTTTGTCTTTCAAGGCGTGGTGGGGTTGAGAGCTGCCATTGGAGGCCTCTGGCATTTGCCCCGATGTTCACGCTGGACAGACGCTTTCTCGCCCCCCTGAAGCAAGTGGGCGATGCCAGCCTTGCTGTCCCATGCCGCCAGATGGGGGGGTCGCCTCCTCCTCCTCCTCCTCCGCCCGGCCTTCGCCCACCCTTGAAAAAAAATGCAAGCTAGCACGTTTGGGCCCAAGGCGGCGATGATTTCCTCCTCGTTTCAAAATCCTTTTCCTCACATTAATCTCTCTTTATTTTTATTTTGACAAATGCATGTTTCCAGGAAGTTGGAGAGGTCAGCTCAGCATCTGTTGCTGGTTACGCTGTGCCAAGCCAAGCGGGGGCCTTGTGGGGGGGGGGGGCGGTGTTATCCTCTCTCGGC